TTTAGTAGGCAACTTTTCAAAGCCCTTTTTAATTTTTTCCCCCCTTGTGCAAGTAAGCTGGGACCAGAGCTGCTACACTAAGCTACTTAGCTTGAAAATCAGTTTAGTGAAGGTCTGGGAGATTCTGGGTTTATTTCCTCCCATACAAGACCTATAGCAGGAGCTTAATAACAAAAGTGCGAAAAGAACGAAACTGTACGGAAAATTACAAACATCAGCAGCAGCTGCCCGAAGCGCTAGGAAAATCTTTCCCTAAACCCAGGATCTAAACAGTCCAAAAGGTTGGTGTGACCAACCCCTCCTACTCATAAATTAGCTTCAAATTGTTAATAGGTGGAATAAAATACAGATTAAAAAAAAAAAAAAAGAATTTTTAATAATAATTCGGAAAAGCCCACCTCTTCCTTTGACTCTTTTTTTTTATTTTTTTATTTTTATTTTTTTTTACATTTTTCCCCCTGAGAACTGTGTTGTAGTTGCTTGAACGCCTCCTTAACTTTTTGCAAGACCTAACAAAAAGGAGTGCGGTGCCAACTCATTAGCCAAACAGCGTTTTAAAAGACGATAAACAGTCACGTAGCAAAAAAGGACTTGGGCTGAGAGTGAAAAGCAGTCACCTTTCAGTCGGAGAGCGGATGCACATCAGAAATCAGGCGGGAGAGAAATACCTAACAGCGCTGGGCATAATGTGATTATACCTAAGGTAATCGCTTAAAATAAATTGTATACTGTTTAAAGTAAATCGACCTAAATGGCCACGCTCATCTAATTCAAAGATCATTGGGCAGATAAACTTCTTAAACAGCCTTTCTTGAGAAGGAGTTTGCTAAGACAGTGTGATCCTTCCAGTTTCTTAAGGCGATGCATCCAGTGCCAAGAGATTTTCTCTTTATTATTAACAAATCAGTTTAGATAGGGGTCCGATAAGAAATGCAAATCCAGACATAGGGGTCGCTGCTTGGCCGAATTTTAACTGAAGGCTGGTTCTGCGGGAATTGACTACAGGGTACGTTTGCGAAGAGGCTGTGCGAAGCTTTTACACTGACTCTACTGAAAAATGAAGTCAGTGATTTTGATCTGCTCCAGATGTCCTAAGAGTGGATATTGCAGTGCTGGGAATCCGCACCAAATATCTGAGGGCAGCGATGGTAATCAGCGCAACCCATCAGCCAGGGGGGACTGGCAATTGTGATAACCTGCTGCAAATGCGCAGGGCTGGAGATGGCAGTGATAAACCGCTGAAAATATCTTCAAATGGAGATGACAGAGATGTTGAAAGAAGACACCTAACTATGGGGAGAATAGGATACTAAGCAGAGCACAATCTGAGAGTGGAGTTCAGATACTTACCAGTCTAAGTTCACCCGTGTAATTTCCACAGCGATACATACACGCGTTTGGGCTTCTCTGCAGGCACATACACGAGCATATGGCCCCGATGGTAAAACTCGGGGCTTATGCGGCGTCGATAATCAGATCTACCAAAAGAAAGGGAGATTTAGTCTCTAAAGCGCCTTGTTTGTGGCTTGGGGAGAAAAGTTTTCATTTAATTCTGTAACTGCTCTGAGACATCCTGGTAACGATTTCTTTTGCAAATCCTCTTTTCATTTTCAGCTTTCACCGGTAATAGACGAAGAAATTTAAGATGATCTCTTCAGTTAATAGTCTGTTTCAATTTTCTTTCCTGTGGAAAGAACGTGCGGGCGAGTGGGGGGGGGGAGGGGGGAAAGGAGGTGTGCAAAAAAGAAATAGATTATCCTTATGTTGCTAATTTTCTGACTGCTCCCAGCAGGTAGTTTCACTGTCTTTTTTTTTTTTTTTTTTTTTCTTTTCTTTCCTAGCTGCCTTTTTATTAATGTGTAAGTTTAAAATAACTCTACCATGTTAAGTATCAATCCTATATATTTTAATGATACATCTGTGCAGGACAGAAACCATTAATTTAATATATCTCTCCTAGATTCTAATTATCCACCGACTGACGACTATTTGGATCAGTTGACTGAGTTTTCATTAAGTGTATTGCATCTGATTCAGCATGGGACCGTGTTTCTTTTGAGGACGTTTACTTTTTTTGGGGTGCCGGCAGTGCGGGGGTGGCTCAGCAGGACCGTGGCAGGGGTCTCCCCTCACTGGTCACCCGCTGCCAGGCCCTGTCGCCGCCGTGTGACTGTCCTGAGCGCTTCTCATCAGCCCTGATTTATGAGCCTTGTTAAACACTCATTATTACTTTGCACCTTTTTTCCAGCAGGGTCTGGGAAACAACCCCACTTTGTGACAACAGGGCATGTGACAAATAATTATAGGCGGAGAGGTGATGTAGCTCTGGAGCAGCAGACTCCCCTCTCCTCCCCTTCACGCCCAAGCAGAGGAACATTTCTGTTAAAAAGAGGGAAGAAGGAAGGAAGGAAGGAAGGAAGGAAGGAAGGAAGGAAGGAAGGAAGGAAGGGATATTTTTAAAAATCTCACTCTTTTTGTCAATTTATATCACAGTGACAGCAGCCTTAAGACTGTGCAAATGAATGAATGGTTTGGTTTGTCTAAATAAACACAAACTTGGAATCAGGGATACCTGATCGATCACCTGAATGTGAATATGTACACATCTTCAGTGTATACAGGCAGTACAGGAAGGAATCCAAGCCTGAGCAGCTGCAGCGTTTGATTGTGCTCAAGGTAGCAGCTAGTAAGGTGTTTACAAAGATTATTTTATTCAGAGAGAGAGAGCATGTGCTTTCAAAATGAAAAATATAACTTTTTTAAAAAGCAAACTAAGAGAAATTGACTTTCTCCCCTGATATTCTGGTGGTAACTTTTTACTAATTTTTTATCAGTTCACCTCAGGTGAACTTACATTTATTTGTGATAGCAATGTGAATTCACAGATGTTCTCTTCCTTTGCGCTTTTGCAAATGAATTATTAGAGCTGTGCACACAGGCCTATATGAACCAGGATTAAAATCTATGGAATGTATCATCTGCCTCTCTCTCTATTTCTCTCTCTGTCTGTCTATCTACCTATCTATGAATATTTTATGGGTCTGAACTTAATTAACAAAATAATTTCCATTTTGTCTCCAAAATGATCAACAGCAATTATGTGAGTTTTTTAAGGTTTATAATTTTATGTCACCAGACTGTTGCTTGGGGGCAGAGGCACAATTGCCGTGCCAGCTGCAGTTGTATTTATTTGGTTTTTTTCTGTCTTGTTCCTGTAGGGCTGCATTATGCAGTTTTTAATTAGTTTGTGTTTGTATTTCACCCGTCCCAAATCAATGCCATCCTGGAGCAATGCAATGTAAATTCCTGCAGTACAGGTGTAGCTGCTAGCTCTGGAACACTAGGAAACTCATGTCTTACAAATGAAAGCAGTGAATGCCATTCAGCCAAACTGTCAGCTTTAAACAGCCAAGAGGAAGGAGATCAAAGCAGAGAGCAGGAACTTCTACTCTCCAGATTAGTCTTTATGGTTTGAACGCCTAATGCTATTAAAGGGAACCAGGACATATAGCACATCGTTGGCTACAAAGTTACTTCTAATTTTGCTAAAGTCCTGCCTTATTTTGGCCAATGTAAGCCTTCAGAGCATTTCAAGATGCACTGTTTCCTTTGAGGCCTAGTAGCTACTCATCGGAAATTATGCAGAACTAATACCTTCAGAGACACATTTCTGTTTGTGCACATATTTATATAACTTATCGCCTTTTGAAAGATAATTTTGATTTCCTCCTAGGTTCCACAAAGTCTTTTAATAGAAGTTGCAGCAATAAAACCTGAAATTCTAGTCTCTCCAGACATGAAAAGTCCCTTTATGTTGTGTTTGGTGTCTCTTCTTTCTTGAAATGACCTCTGTACGGTGGTGTATAAATCTATTATTCCAGTCACTGGGGAATTCTTTTAAAGCTTTTTTTTTTTTTCCTTGCTTTTTTTTTTTTTTTTTGTCAGGAATAAGAGATCGTTCATCTTTAACTAGGCCACATAGAAATTATGATTCAACAGCAGTGTATATTTAATTAGAGTAATCTCACTTGAATTTAATTACCTAATGAATTATTTGTTTAAAAGGTAAAAAGGCTTGTTTGCCAAGTACAGTGCAACCCACTGATAAGAACTTCCGTTATAAGAACATTAATATTTAAAAAAAAACCAAAAAAACCCCCACGATATTTTATGGTTTTATATTTTAACTCTTTGCTTCTGCCAGCCGTCGGTGGGTACAGGGAGCCTGCTACGATCAGCGCTCCCCTGGGCTCCCGGCGGGGAGCCTTCCCCAGCCCGCAGCCCCCGGCCCGCGTAAGGAACGCAGGCGGCCGTGGGGGCGGGCGGAACGAGCGGGGCAGAGACGGGACACGGACAAATTTTTGGTGAATTTGGAGGCGAGGAGCCGGCGCCATTCGGCGAGGGGCGGTGAGGCCGCTCGGCTGCAGGCGGTGGAGAGGCTGCGCCGCGCTCCGCGCCCTGCGCATCCCCGGGCAGCCGCCGGGATCCGCGCTGCTCCCCAGGCTTGCTGTCCCCTCCTCTCAGCGCCGCGTCTGGAACAGGTCCTGGCCAGGAACAGGAAGATGTCAGAGCGGGGAGTGACAAGCTACAAAACAGTCGTCATCTATTTTTTTTCTCTCACTCTGTTTCCCCCCTAGTCTTATGGTCAGCGCAAATAATCATAGTCCTTTGATTATTTATGCTTCTCCAGCCGTGGCAACAAAAAACTGGCCAACCTCTGCCCTCGGCCTTTCTTCTCGGTTCCCAAGTTTTCCAGCTACTTGAATTGTTTGTTTCTAAAATACAATGAATACAGTGCTGAACTGCAACACTTGTCAGAAGATTCGTCTGAAAGCACCAAGCACCACAGCCTGGGCATTAGCCAACCCTGAAAAAAAATAAAAAAAAAAAAAAGTGAAAAATAAAAAAAAACACACTTTTTTTTTTTCTTTTCTTTTTTTTTTTTTTTTTTTCTTATTCAGTAATGGGAAGCTCTCCTTGATGTATTCTACTTACCTGATGTAGATTTACTAGGTCATAAAAAAGTTTGGTTTGTTTGTTTGTTTGTTTGTTTGTTTCTGCGCTGGGAATCATCTCTATGGTTTGACAGTGGGTCCTCTCAAAGGTGTCACTGGGCCGCTACGTGTCGTTTGGACCGAGAACTTTCGGTCTGTCTTTCCCCCTTCCCCGAACGAAACGAGGCCATCGGCAGGGCCTGAACAGGAGTTGGAGAAGCAGCAAGGGGTCGGACCGGCCTCGCCTCCCCTTGCTGCCCCAATAGTGATGTTCCGGCACCAGGCAGGAAGCCGGATCTCTGTTGGATTAGAGAACGGATGTTAAAAGATATCTCTGGAGGTGGGCAAGGTGGTCTGGGCGTGCCAAACATGAAAGAGGTATTTCTCCCTTACCTTCCTTCGGTAGGTAAGAACCTACCGAACATTTCCGCTTGAGAAACAACAGCAAGAGGGAGAGGGGAGCGTGTGTATACTCAAACCGCGGGCAGGGAGGGTGAAAGTCGGCGCAAGCTTAGAACTAGGCTTGAGCAATGCTGAGGCACCATTTCGAGACACGGCTGCGCTTGGGGGTCCCTGTCAGGTGCCACTGGAGCTCCCACAGTCCTGCTGCAGGCCTGCAGCGAAGGACCGCACCTCTCGCTAGCCCGTGGGCACAGGCGTACCCCATAGGCAGGGGCAGAAGTGCAGAAGCACCCAGGGATCAAAACAGCAAACCTGTCTGCTCGGCAGGGAGTTCTCTGCCGGTGCCCCCCGGCAGCGTGTGTCCAGGTGGGAGGCAAGCCGGCGGTGGCCGGGCGGAGGTGGCGAGGGCAGCGGCTCCGCCACACTTCCGGCCCCGCGGCGCCCTCAGCCCGCTCCTGCGCCCCTTCTGTCACCGGAGTCTGAAAAAGAAGATGTTTGCCAGGTTTTCCAGAGCTGCCTGCCCTGCTGCAGGCACACCTGCTCAAAGCCTCGCTCAGTCGCTGGGCCGCTCGCCCGGTGCCAAACTTAGAGCGGTTCAGGGAAGCGAGGAGAGCCCCTCTCGGCCTGGGGAGAGGGGGTCAAGCCGCCGTGCTCTGGGGATGTGCTGAACATCAGGCAGGAAAGGAGTGGTGAGAACGAGCCTCAGTCTCTGCCGTCCTCTGTCTTCTCCATTTAAGGGCAGGGATCCTAATTTTTTGGATGAGTTTTGGAGGTCTGGTGAAGTGGAGCAGTTTTAGGTACTAGGCGCTGGTGCTGTGGCAGCCGTGGGGTCTCCAGCTCACCAGCACCTCAGCTCCCATTTCAGGGTGCCAGAAATGTTTGAGTGTGATTTGTACTTTCAGATAAATATGCCGAGTCCTGAACCCAAGAGTAGCTTCGGGTCTGTTACGGTGAGAATGGATATTGACTTCAGAAAACCTCGAACCTCATGATTATATTAAAAATGTCTAATATATTCAAGGCTCATATCGTGGTCATTTTCAGATCTTGGAGCAAAATTATCACAACACTTCACTGTTTATAGTCACATAAATATGTTGGTCTCCTCTACTATGTGTCATTTGCACACACTGTTATTAGAATCAGCTGGCACCCTCACTGAAATGTTTATAATGACTTTAAGATATTATGGGAGTTATAGATCGGCAGGCCTGGCATTTTAATTCTCGAGGACCTATGCTTTTTTTAAAGCTACAAGTGCGGTTGCCTCAGCACAGCTACATAATGTAGTTTATTCCATTATTTTTTATAATCAAATACACATATTAACAGATCATATTTGTCTGTGTGCTTTTATTCTTACCCTCTTTGGAACATCTGTGTATTTTCACTGTATTTTTACTGATAAACTATAGCTGTATAATTTCAATCATGTAGTTATGGTAGGACAAACTATTAAATAAATCTTAGACTAGAACTTACTGAATTAAAATTCTTCACCAAAGCTTCTCAGATTCTTTTTAATATTCTATAAACAGAGTAATTTACAATGTCATTCTATCTCTTCTATAGCTTTCTTCTAACACTGCAGCATTAGTAGCAGTTGGTGTATTTTCTGTCTTTGGTTTCTTTTTCCTTAGATGTATAGTCACTCTTTTTGCTATTATAATTGATTTATGTATCCATTGATGTGTGCTGCATTTTAATGATGACTCTTTGTTTTATCCAATAATACTTTTCAATAAGATTGTTTGGATTGCATTTTAAGGACAGGTGTAAACTGATGCTTAGAGTTTTAATGCCCAGTGTTGACCCAGGCAAGATTTTTGCCTGGGAACAGATTTGCACTCAAATAAGGCTGTACAGTTTTATGCATTTTTACACTTACCTACATTTTTTACTTTACTTTAGGCTTACTAAAACGTAACTAAACCTTTCCCCTTTTGCTTCTTTCCTCTACATTAATATGCTAAATTCTATGAGGCCCATATATTTTTTATTTTTTCTTTCTAACAACTCCAGATTATATTTGAATAGCAGGACAGTTTGAGCTTGACCTGTATCAAACAGCGCTGGTCCATTGAAAGCATTGCAACAAGATAACAATGAGAGTAGAAATAAAGTGGATTTAATAAAATAATAGTAATGAAGTGAAAATACATTCGTTAATCACCTTATTATAAGAAAATCCTTCATATGTCGTTCTTAAACGATTATTGGCTAGTGGGCTAATAATATGACTATTTTTAACAACAAAGTTAATTATGTCCTCCACTGAATTATTATTCTAGATACTGTATGAAACAGAAAACTAAAAAAAAATAAATTTTTAGAGCTGGGATCTTGTAGTAGTTAAATCACCATGGCAATGTGTAGAACTTGGTGTGCAATCATGAGCTGCACCATGGTACTCTAGAAATTAACAGTGAGTTTATTTTATTGATTCAATGCAGGTTTTTCTCCTCAAAACTGCTGTTCCCCATCCCATATGTTTCATTTTACTTATGCATGGTAGCTCCCTGTCAAACGTGGCAATTTTGGGGACTTTTGCCTGGGCTGGAGAACATTCAAATAATAATGATAATATCACATCCACTGTTAATTTTTCATGTATAACTATACTGCTTCAATTTACAAGACATTTTATACAATATGTGTATTCTACTGATTCCTCATATGTTTTGCATCGATCACAGACAAGATAAATTTTAGAAGACTAAGTCATGATGTTCAGAGACTTACAGACGTTATTAAGAACAGTGAGGAATTATGAGCATTCAAAAACACAACAGGCCCAAATTAAGACCCTCAGTTCAGCAGCTGGAAGCCTTTTGGGGTTGATTATTACATGCAGAGAGAAAACATGCAAGGAACTACTTATTCAGTATACTCTGTACCTTCAAGTCAAAGAGACTGCCAGTGGAGTGAAATATCTGTTAGCTTGGGTGTAGATAGTGGAACCTGAAGTATTTTTATTGTGTTCGCCTATGACTATAAGTTCAAATATTTAACACCTGGATGCTTTTTTAATGTCACAGGACACTCAAAGACAAATACCAATCCAAGCAGATGTTTCCAAGGCCGGGAAAGTAATAGGTGCAGAGCTGGGCTAATAAGGGGCAAGGAAATGCCAATTTTCTGTTTCACCTTTTATTTATTTCCTCAGCTTTTCCATGAGGGTCACAGAGTTAGGCAACAACACGGTCATTCAGTAGTTCACAGAAGGTTTTGATCTCTCTCTCACCTTGTCTCAGGCCAACAAGCATTTGCAGTAGTTCATGTGCTGGCATTGCTGCTGTAATTGCACTAACCCAGAACAGTGTTGCCATAAACATTTCTATGCTAAGCTTAATAATTCTAATGCTTCATGGAAGCAGTCTTGGTGCAGTTGCATTGATGTAGTAGATGCTGCCAGTGTAACTCACAATAATCTTGCAATCCTTACAAAGCCTGCTCTCTGCAATTTCCTTCTACTTCACATTATTTACTTGGTCTAAACTATTTGCTATTTCACAGAGTGATAAATACCAGTTCATTTATTTCAAATAAAATAATCTCTTCAGGTATTGATTGGTGCTCTGACTAATCCCCACTTCATGAGTCCATCTTGGGACCTGTTGGGAAGTTCCCCCATAATGCAGTTCTACTCCATAGCTGAGCCAATTTCTGTGTTAATATAACAGATTTTCACCTCAGAGGTTTGCTGAGAATTTTTTACATTGTTGCAAGTTTATACACACCTTTAAACTAAGACAAGCCCTACAGGCATTCTCTAACAGAAACTGGAGTACTTGATGGAGAAGAAGCTATGGTCAAGAACCTTTGACATTTCAATTTCACTGTCTTTTTTTTTTTTTGCTTGTTTTCTTTTGCTGTGACTGAAGAATTGCCCTTGGAGTCCTAGGAACAGAAGAACCAAATTATTCTCATTCAGTAGGACACAGAAGCAGAATAGCCCTTCTTGGAAGAAGAAAAAATTCCATGTTGAGAAGGCTGTTGGACTTTAGTGTCTCCAATGAAAAAAAAAGCTGCTAATAATGCCAATGTGCTGACATATAAAAGTTGGATCCTACTAGTTACTTTCTTTAAGGTACCAGCCTTTCTGAACTCAGCATACTTTATTTTTTATAATTATTTTTTTAGGTCTTCTCATCCTGTTTCTTATCTTTGCCATTAATTGCCACAATTTTCCTTTTGTCTCCATATTCTATGTTTGTATTTGTCCATCTTCCCTGGCTCAGTCTTGTCAGCTCCATGTTTGATCCCACAGCAAAACCAGCTTTGCTTTTTCAGTTGTTTTTACTGAAAACAGCAACTTATATCCTTCATGTTTATCTGTACCTCGTCGTTGAAAAATATTTCAGAGAAGAGACTGACTTTCTGCATGTTCATATAATGCCTACTCCACCTGACACCCTAAAGCCAAAGCAATAATTAATAAATAAAACATCTTCCATTTTCCACTGATGTACTTATTCTGCTTAAAAACGATAAGTTTAAGCAATTAAGAACTCAGGTGATTCCTCATGTAACTATAGTAGTGTGACTAATTATGTTGTCCTTTTCACTCCACTAAAACTTACACTTGGAAGAGCATGTATGTATGCAAGAGTTAAACACATTTCTGGATTTGTTTGCTTTTGCATTCGGAACACCTACTTGTTAATAGGAATTGTTTATGGAAAAAATGGTGGCCTGTGGATGCAATCTGACCTTCAGCTAGAATTGATATAAATTGACTTCACAGTCTGTGTTCTGACTGTTCACAGTGTTAGGAAAGAGTATTAGTGTATGTGTGTTTAACTGGACTTCGTGCTTCCATGCATGTAGCACTTGCACAGTTTCCCCAATAGTAAGAATGTTAATTCAGACACACACAGAGTTCTGAGCACTTTTTTCACTAATGTTTAGATTTACTTGGCAGGAGTAGAAATGAGGTAACACTTGTGAGACAGAAAATAAAAAGCAGCTAAAAGGATAACTTCAGCCACCTCTGCAAATTCATGGGACATGTGGGGTTGCAGCCAAGGGCATGGAGAGGTAGATGAAGACACAGTGAGGATGGCTCTCCAGTTCAGGACTTGAGCCTGAGAAGTGAATAAAGTCCTGCTGGGGGACAGTTTCTAGTGAGGCCCCTTAGCAGTTCATGTGGGAATCCATACTGTTCCTTACTAACCTGGGAGGTAGGACAGAGTGTAACCTCAGCAGGTTTTCAGAGCATACCACATTGGGTGAGAATGGCTCTTTCCCTGGAAAGCATGCTGTCATTCAGAAGGACATAGGTAGTCTGGAGAAAGTCCAGCAGGAATCTCACGAGACTCAGCACAGAATGTAAAGTCCTGGCCCTGGTCTGGGAAGCCATCCTCCTTCCATCCAGTCTTGGCATCAACTTTTCAAAAGGCAGCTTTATAAAGAAAAGACCTGGTGTCCCCAGTGGAAAGCAGAGGAGACATGAGCCAGCAGCAGTCAGCACTTGCAGTGAAGACCAACTTCCTAATGAGCAGTAGTAGTGTGAGTGTAGCCAGTAAGAAGGAAGTAGTTATTAGCGGAGTGGGTGTCAGTCTCTTCTCCCAGGCAACAAGGGACAGGATGAGAAAACGGTCTCATGTTGTGCCAGGGAAGGTGTGGGATATATAGATGGGATATTAGGAGAAATTTCTTCACTGAAAAAATTGCCAAGCATTGGTACAGGCTGCCCTGAGAAATTATTGAGTCACTGTCCCAGGAGGTATTTTGTAGATTCCTAGATGTGGTGCTTAGGGAAATGGTTTAGTGGCAGACTTGGCAGTTCTAATGGCTGGACATGATGATGTCAAGCATCTTTTCTAACCTAAATGATTCCATGTTCCTTAATTAGCACTTGTGAGACTCTATATGAAGGACTGTCTATTTTTGAGTTTCCCAGTGCAAAATAGGCATTGGTATGCTGCAGTCAGTGTAAAAGAGCTACCATGATAATGAGAAGCATTTAGATTCAATTAGAACACATGACGAGGAGAAGCTGGATGAATAGTGGTTGTTCAGCCAAGAAAACAGGCGAATGGCAGGCCTTATAGCTGCCTTCAGGTACATTTTGATAAAGTGTAATCTAAATGGAAACACTGCTCTTAGAGTGGCAGGATGAGAAGCAGAAGATAATGGGAAATTATGTTTAGATACCAAAAGAGAGGGGTGAGTGGGAAATAAAAGGAAAGGAAGCCATTAGAACCCGGAAAATTTATGGACTCACCATCCTTGAAGATATTCAAAACTGATCTAGATGAGACCTAGAGGAATCTGCCATAGTTGGACCCATGTTGAGAGGAGGGCAGACCTAGATGACCTCCAGAGATCCTATTGAACTAAAACTATTTTATGATTTTGTAGCAGTTGAGCACATAGCTATGAAGGAGTGGAGTTAACATCCTTGCCCGTGTTACAGGACTGTCCAAGACAGACTACAATACATGGCAATAATGCATGTGGCTGTAACATGTCAGTTGTATTGACTATAGATACATTTATTGACTACAGATACATTTATTTCATAGCTTTGAACTCATCAGAACACACTGTGTAACAAACTGATGCTTCTCTCTCTTATGTGTTACTATAAACACACACAGCATACATACAGCTATACAGCTTTTATCCAGCCATGATTGCTAATAAGATGCTGCCTGACACAGCAAACAAACCATGATGGCAAGCTAGAGACATCTGACAGGCAGTGTGCCATCTTTATCAGCAAACCATTTCAGTAAGGAATGGAGAGGAGGGAGAAAGGAGTGAACAAGACCTGAGACATAGTCATCACGCAGGTGTTAGCTGACATTCCAACCCAGATGGTGATTTAATGGTCTGCTCCAGGAGATGTACAAGTAGGTTTGCATGTTGATGTTCAGGACAGCACTGTAAGAAAGTAGAGCTGCTAGCTATTACCATGTTTTATATTTCTGAGGATAATTCCTCTGAGCACACAAGTAAAGGTGCTTCCTACCTAAAGATCTTTGGTCTATGGCCAGACTAACACAGTTCAGCCCTCTTGGCTTGTGATGTCCCAGGATAGCCTCGTGGCCCATTCTAAAATTACAAAATAACAAAGACCAAAGTCACAGAACATAAAGTACATAAGGACAACAGGAATGGCTTGAAATACATTTTGTAATGTTGAAATAGAAGCATTCTCTGACCTTTCTTAATCCTAATTATTATTATTATTTATGAAAGAACAAGCGCTGCTAAATAAAAGATATAATTTTAATTGTGGAATTAACTGTAATTACATGTCATTATGAAATATTCCATAATTTTGTAATTGCTTAAACTGTTGGTATTTACTGAACATAATTTACAGTAATTCCTTTATTCTTTCTTTGTCTAACCAATAATTATCTTTGTAATAGGTAGTAGAATCGTGAACTGAACAAAACTGTACACATTAAGTGTTCACAACATTTCTATTTGTCTTTTGTTTCTGTAGGAATCCAAAACAAAGTTAATCTGATCAACAGGGATCAATAGAAAAGTGAGTGAAGATTCTCATTTCTTTGAAGCCAGGGAAGGCAATGAAATAATCCTCCTAAACAATGAAGGCCTTTAATTCAGAGTCTTGAACACTGAAAGGCATTGTGAAGTGGGATTTGCAGTGTTTCTGGTTTTAATTTAAACTGTACAAGCAGGTGCAGTAGTTGGAGGTGAATTACTTTCACTACATTTTTGTGATATTATAGGAAAAAAATCACAGAAAAGTCACAGACCTGATTTACAGACTACAAGAGTAAAAAAATCTTAGAACTACCTTTTGTTTTACATTCCATGCTCCCATTCCCAGTTTTAATGTATTCATCCTCCTTGCTTAGTGTTGTCATTAGGTCCACAAGCTGAAGGACATCTCAGTACGTGGGACTGCACCCGTGTGAGCTGGCTACCTCTGGAAGAGACACCAGCCAATTCTTCAGCCTCTATCTACTTGGTGCCTTTACCTGAAAAGCTGGTAGTGGACTGGGCTGCAGAGGGCCCTTCTGTCAACTTTTGTGACTGAGGAATGCTTAAGACGATGTAGGATGGGTCCACCACCCTGAGTCACAGGTGAGTAACACACAGCAGCAGGGCAGGGACTTGCCAGCCAGGATTCTGTTACACCATTTCCAGGGTCTAGAGGTGGCAAGGAGGCCAGTTGGGAGTTAGAGCGCTTGCCATTGTTTGGTAATGAGTCAAGTCCAAGAATGTAAATCCAGTCTTGTGGTAGCAGCCAGGTCTTACTCAGCTGGGTGAGCACCAGACAGGTCCTGGAGTTAGATGGCAGGTCTGAGGTCAAGCTGGGAAGTCAGTGCATGGATCCGAGCCCAGTCCAGCAGACTGCATAGCTGAGCATAGCAGTGACAGACCTGGAGATGGGCACACTTAGTGCATAGCTCAGGCAGGAAGAAATGGCCCCATTGATTTGGAACGGGGCCCCAGTGTGTGTGTGGGCAACCACGCAGGGCTATGTGCCTAGGACCTACAAGTGCCCTTAGGGCCTTGATCAGCTCATGGGATGGTGGCTGGCCAGTAATCAGAGAGCAGCACTAGCAGGTGGATCTTAGCTGGAAGGTGCAGTACTGGACAGAAGGAAGGATGGAAAGAAGGTCCCTCTGGCTCATGGTGAGGCAGCCAACCAGGCTGGACAGAGGAAAGCACATTGGGCTCCCATTTTGATGAAGCTGATGGCAGTGCTTTTATGGCTAGCAGGACGATGACGTTTTCACTCTGTTTCTGTCTACTACCTTGGCTTGTGAAAATACACCTTGCAGTAGGCCTCTACTGTCAATCACCATTAACTTGTTTGAGGTAGAAGAAGTTCTTATAAATCTTCTCCTGACTTCTTCTATCCCAGCTCCTGATTCCTTTATTTCATGTTCAGCTAGAGTCTATTTGGCAATGAAATAATTAATATTAAATATTTATAATCAATATGTCCACTTCCATATATCTTACAGAAGGAACTGAGGATTGATTGCTTGTTCTCTTTATCTTGATGTTAATTTTGTTTTTATCTTTCCTTTTTTTGTAATGTTAGAGAAAATTCAGCTTTTGAACCTTGGGTTTGAGTTTGTCTTGACCTTAGGCCGAACTCACTGACTTTGTTACTCTGTGTTCTTGTTTGTAGCTTCTAGGAAGGTATAAATGGACAAAATCAGGCTTATTGTGGATTCACAACTCTAATCATGATGACTGCTGTCATCGTGAGGACCATTTAAAACATATTTATTTCACAAGTTGTCTTTGGGGTTTTCTGTCTACCTGCAAGAAAAAATATTGTCCTCCAGCCTACTTACCTCCAGGAACTCAGGGACCCTCAGCCATCAAAGCTGTCACAGAAGATTGGTTTCATGGCATTATGGGGAGAGGCACGATGCCAGAGTGTTGTTCTTATCTTCAAATAACATCTCCCTGAATAAGGTCCTCTTTGTTTTGGGAGCCATGGGTGTGTTTTGTATGCAGCATTCATTTATTTTTTCAGTTACGTGTTCAGAGATAACACAGGTTGAACTAATTGTCTAAATAAGATTTGGAATTTAACAAATTACAGTGTTCAATAACATAATTTTCTTTGACAAAAACAACACAGGTAGTGCTCTCCTAGTCTGACAGCTCTGGGAGCTAGAGTTGATTCAGAAGTGCAAGAATGAGATTCTAAAAGCGTAAGAAAATAAGAAATGTTATTTATCACTGTTTCAGTGTCACCGACTTGTTATTTTTATTGTTTTTCAGAATAATGGGATTTATTGAAGCAGTTTATCCTCACATCACGTAATACATGTTATGCTTGAAGAACGAGGAGGATTCAAAACAGCAAAACATAAAAAAGCACCTTACATGTAACAGAAATCTGCAGCAAGGAGAGCTACGCTTTAAAACCTATCCTATTTCTATCTGGAGCAAGCAGAAAACAAGCACATGTGGAAAGGAATAGTTCAGTTAATAAAACCACACAAATTGAGATATTTGCATAGTTACTGCCATGCTCAAGTGAAAGAAGATAATTGTGTGTATGAAAGGTTTTCAACAGCTGTCTTTGAAATCAAATAAAGAATTAGATAAGCATGCTGCCTGCTTTGCATCTGGGATATATATACCAACACTCAATATTCACAAATTGCTAAGTGGTTGTTGGACACCTGAAATTCTATTGATTGCTAAAGCTCAATAATGTCTCACAGACTTGATCAAAAGAGCAGGCAAGCAAACAAGTAATTATATAGTATTGGGACTCTTAGCATATACAAAATACACTGCAATCAGCAAACATTCTGACTAGATAAATAACCTCAGTTTGGTGTGGCAGCAGCCATAACAGGAAACCTTTCAAATGTTGATTACATAAAATTAAGGACGATACAGTGAAAAAGTGTATTGTAAATCAGACAGCAGGGAATTTCAAGGATCACAAATCCTTGCCTAATATAAATTACTGCAATAAATTCTAGCATGGATTGTTTCTTTTATAACAATGGTTACCAAGAAAATAGGAATTGTGAGCTAGAATTCCAGGGCATTTAAATCATGATAGTCTCTAGAAGTTTAATTGCTTTATTTTGCTTCTAGCTTGCTCGAAAGTGAACACAAGTAATAGATATAAAACTGTTTGATTGTATAAATTAATATTTGTTTCCTTAGATTCTATGTTAAGTCAACAAATAACTTTTTTATTGTAGTTATTATGGTGACTGGAAATAAAGAGTTAACCTCTTTCCTCTTATAGATTTTTGGCAGGACCCTATTGACATACATTCATGTATCAAGAAAACTGTGGGAAGATACCAGTACAAAACTGGCTTGTGAATCAGTCTCCATGCCTGGCAAAGGTTTTTGACCCCTGGATCTTCTCATTATTACAAAACATTCAAAACACCAACTGCCTGAAAGATAATAGTGATTTAAAAAAAATTCTTTTAAGATTAACTCCCAGAGCATAGTGCCTTCCTTTTCATCTCATTGGAGTTATTAGTCATCTCTCAGATGGCTTAACAGGAATGGTCACCATACTGTGACCCTGGGCTCTGATTGTGGGGATGTCCTTATGCTGTAATTAGAGGGAAGATATTGCCTCAGAGAAAACTGTAGTATAAACATGTACTGCTCTGGCTAGCATTAATCTATTTTGATATGAAGTGATCTGGCATCATGGGAAGCCGAAGATGATTTTCTTCATGTGGTTTACAAACAAAGTGAAGAGCTCTGCAAGACTACAGGAAAACACAGCTCTAACAATGCTTGTAATTTGGCCTGAGGTTGACTTCACAGTACCTGCAGGCAATCTCACACACTGCAAAATACCACCAGTGAATTCCAGTTCTGTAAAAGACAGCTCTTAATGGACATTGGCTAGTCATCATGTCCTCATGACTAACTACATGTAAATGCAATGTTGTGCATAAGTTAACCTGGGATCCTGCATATTTCTGGTCAAGTTTCTCAGAAGAAAAATTCTGATGTTGCATATGGCATGTTTCACAGTCCAAATAGGCAGGCTAGATGAAAAAAATGTTGTCTCTCTCCTTACAATTTAAATGTCACTGTTTCCAAAGTATTCAACAGGTTTTGTCCAAAACCAGGACTTAAACTCTATACCCAACTATAAGAGATGCTAGGTGGTAAATAATTTCTGCAATTTCCCCACAGAATGATGATGTTTTAGGATCAGCCTGTGATTATTCTTTTTAAAGAAAAATATGAGTCTATAGCTACACAATGTCATCTGATGCCACTGACAATATGACACTGATTATATATAGACAATGATCCTGAATTTTTCTGCAGTACTCCAAGAAAGTCTAAGTGAAGATTTGAGCTCATTATTTGTTTACCTAGGGTGCTTGCACAAATATTTCAATTCTATATCTTTAAAGCTTCACAGCTAAAGTAGAGCCATTACTGGAGTAAGATGGAAACCCTGGTAGTGGCCTAATGCCTCTGCAGTGAGGTGAGAAAGAAGCACAGTTTCTACGACTCATAGGATTACTTTCTACAGGACTGGTTGTACTGGGATATGCTGCTGAGCTGTGGTGTACAAGGTAATCTCACAAGACCCATAGTTATGGCTTTCAATACATCTTCTGTTTAAATAGTGGCAACATTGTCTGATACTAAGGGCACATAAAAACCTAATTTATTTTATTTTCCTTTTATATGATTGGAACTAATGAAAGTGTCAGGAGGTGGGCAATTTCTTTGCAGAGAATTTGTTGTTTAGTTCCATTACATCAATAAGAAATGAGGTGTTAAAATATATGAAAAGATAAATATGACAATTTTTCCCTGTTTTTCCAGTGTGCTTTGCCTTCACTCTGTCTGTCATTCACACAGGAAAACTTCATGGTATAGATTTTTATTTTTTTTTTGCATTGTCAGTATATAAGAAATAATAAGGTATAAGCATAGAGATTACGTTAATATGAAATTTTAAATATTGTATTTAGGGTGGTGGAACAGTACCACGTGATCTGCAATAAATTACGTATTGATATTTCACTTACCTATTACAATGCCAGGAATGCATTTCCAACAAGCCTTGTATTTTTCTATCAAACACTTGATATCAGGACCTTGACAAAAGAAAATTAAGCATTATGCTGCTGAAGAGTCTCTCAATTTTACAAACCAAAGAATTATATTTTTAACAAGTCCTCAAGTGAGCTTGTGATACTAAATTGTGCTAGCTACTCTTGAATCCTGTGTTTTCACCACGGAATTGTGGAGGAAAATGGAAGCACATTCTCCTCAAAGCCCTTCTCTCTGACCCAGTGTTTAGGTTCCCAGTTTTCATTTGCAGAGCCTGGCAAGTGTCAGTCTTCTTCCCATGTGGTTGTTTTTCAGCAAACAAATATGCTCTGCTCTTTACTACAAATAGCTGCATATGATAATAATAGAAACCAGGTGAATGCCAAACCTGCCTTGAAATGCCCCAGCCCCTACTGATGAGGAGGCTTGCATGAAGCACCATCTGTCAGGGGTGTTCATTTATCATTAACCCAGTGGGGAGACAACAAGAACTCAAACACCACCAGAAAAGAGCCAGTAGCTCTGTCTTAACTGCTGTACATTTGTTTCAAGGAAAAAATTAAGAACAGAAAGAAGGGCTTAGTGCATTAAATAAATAATTTGCTCTGAGTCAGATTCTGCTGTGTTTACTCACACAGAAAAGTACTTTATTTAGCAGCTGAGTAAGCATTTCTCGTAGAGTTAATTATTATCTGAACCAAGGAAAAAGATTAAAAATTTGTTTTATATTGTGGGAAATACTCAGAAACTTAAAAACTGTGGCTGGCTTTAGTTAGAAGGTATCTAATAATGGTCAGTAGGTCACTTCATGTTAGTGTGATCCATGCAGAAGGACTGCATGCAGAGAATACTGCACCATTTCTAAGGAATTCTCTGTTGCCAATATTCAAATGATAATTTTCAGAGTCAAACGAATTCTCAAAAGGACAGCAGGCCCCAAACTTATCCCCTGCTGGATTCCTGCTTCCTGATCCAAAACACATTTGAGAATCCTGTGAGAAGTGACACGAAGCAGTCAGTAAGAAGCAGTCCATATAATATATACAAATGCAGGATAACACAGGCTGTAGAAGACCTCAGGAAGCCCCTGTCCCTGTTCCTGTTCAAAGCATGCTCAGTAATGGGATCAAACAGGAATGCATGGGGCTTTATCCAGTTGGGTCTTGAAACTTTCTAAGATGGAGACTGCAGTCTTTCTGGGTAACCTGCTCCCCAGCTTCACTGTTCTCAAGGTAATAGAGGTAATTTTCCTGATCTCACATTTAAGGCAGAATATTTTTGCTGGCTTTTGTTCTCTAAAATGAGTGTAAAACTTCAAATGAAACTATTCTTTGTGCAAAAGAGGTGTTACAGTTCCCTGCATGTTTTGTATAGGATTTGATCCAGAGGGCATTTTCTAAAAGTACTTATTGACCTGAATCTGCCAAATTAAGCAAATAGATATTTATAGACATATGGGAACTTTAAATACATCTAGTTTAGGAAAAAGGTAGCAGAGGTTCTGAGGATCTTGGCTCTGGGGGATGTACTCAAAATCAAGTGGGTGCCTCAGACCTTTTTGCAGTCCCTTTCCTGTTCTTAGGCAAAACTCATTCTTAATAAGAACATTCACTAGTTTTGCGGGGCTGGCACTATTAAGAACAGGTTTGTGATATGAACAAAGAGAGTTTTAGAAGTGTTGATAGCTTGTGTATTTTCAGTTTCACGATGGGAATCACATTAATGAGAACATCTGACTCAGAATGTTAATGCTTATTCTCATATGAGATAAAACAAGTAGACAAACTGATAACAGGATCACGTTTGTGTAGCTGATCTTTTGTCTTTTACCTTGACACAATGCACTATTTCCAGGGAAAAAAACATCAGCTATAAAACTTCCTCTGGACAGTTAATTAATAAATCTATATCAATTAACTTTAAACCACTGTTAACTACTAAACCAGAAGTTTAAATCAACCATAAATTCAATTGTATATTCCAGCCCCCTTGTGACAAGCAATTTCTAGGAATTGCTAACAGGGTGTGATATGGAGGGTTGGTCCATTCCACTGTTCTTGTTCACTGCTGCTACTGAACACAGCATGAAGGATATAAAGCTCATGAAAACTGGAATGAAAACTTTCTAGATTCTTATATAGTCGCCATAATGTCTCCCCCATTTCCAAATTCTTTCACAACCAATCCTTCAGGTACACATTCTTCAGGGAAAATTGCACTGAGCCACTTTGTCAATTAGAAAATTTTTTATAGCAGGTATTTTTGAAGCAGACAGGGGCTTGAGAGGCAGTCAGTACTTGGTATAAATAACTCCACATGCATCTGGGCTGGTGGTGCAAGGCATGGGACAGTCAGTGAAAGAGCAGAAAATGCTGTTGCAGGGAAGTTCCTTGGAGGAGAGTATAGTTATTAGAGCAAGGATTAATTATACTGAAAGTAGAGGATGAGTGTGATCTGAGGTCATGTGGTTGTGGAGAGGGGGGTCAGAAGCTTAGGCGGGGAGATGCAGATGGGTACTAGCGGATAAATTGTCTTTACTGACACAGCTGCAGACCTGAGCTGGGTAGCACAGACCCCTTCTGCCCTTTGTCAGTGAAGGATACCTGTAAGCTCCAGCATAAGGACCCTTATTAGATGATAAGGTGGCAAGAAACACCCTTACTCTAGTCCTCACCAAGGCAGTCCACACTGCCTGCCATATTACAAAATAGCTATGATCAGCTTTATTGCCTTTTCCTGAACTTCCAATTCACTCACCAATGATGTTTAAAAGACCCACTAAAAAGGGTGTTCTGACAGAAAGGTGTTCGGATTGAAGTCGTAACGTTTACTGTGGTTCATGGTATTTCTTTACAAAGGCTCTAGGCTGAGCAATATATAAAACATGGCTTTCTTTCTTTGTCATCCAGGAATTGTGTGAGTGTCAGACATGGTTTAATTTAGACCCAGTCCTGAGTTCCTTTGTGGATCAAAATTTTAATAATATCAATGGGTGTTTTGGGTCATAAAAAGATAGTTAATTTGCCCTCTGGATGTCTGGACTGGCATCTTCTGAAATTCTGACTTGCGATCTAAATTCCATAAACAGCTTAAATTAAGAATATTTCCCCCTTACCATATCTATCAGGTATCTTCTTTTATCCTGTGGGAAGAAAAAACTATTGGAAAATCACAAGCGATTAACATATTGTTAAAACCTCAGTTCTGAAAGTAAAAATAAACCATGAAAGCTAACCCCCAGAGCATTAAACCCACCTTTAAACACCTACACATTTCATTCCTGAAACTTTTATTGTTTTTCAAGTAGGAAGAATATCTCACTTGCTGCAACCACCATAAATTTTGACACAGCCCCAGCCACATTATAATGTGCCTTCATAAAGCTCAGCCTTCTCTCCCATACTTTTGCTTCTCACTTGCCCAAGTTACAATGTATTTTGAAGCAGAAAGGCAGTAACAGACAACTGTCTTTCTGTAAGATATAGTGAGGTTATTCTGTACAAATGGAATGAACCTCATTTTTTCATTTCAGATCAAAGCAGAAATCTTTTGAAGTTTAGCTATTTGATAAAAAAGGGCTTTATAACAAGCAGATATAGAAGTTAATAGGACATAGAGATATTTTATTAAATTGCAAACCATTATTAATATTGCAGTTTTAACTTGAAAGAAATATGTGAAATGACACCGGAAATTAATTAGATTATTTCATCATTCTTTTACATTATAAACTTTGATACACTTGCATAGATATATAGGTACATTGATAAAAAGACACAAAGACAAACAGAATTTTAATGAGTGGGGAGCTTTTATCTACTATCACTTTGTGACTTAATTTTTTCTGTTTATACTGCCTATTGATTCCAGTTGAAACCTGCTGTTTTAATGTTGTTATTGATATTCTCTCTGGGTTTTCTTCTAATTCTGGCATTGATATTACCTTGATCGGATTTAGTTTATTTGAATTGCCTGTAGGTTTCAGTCTCTGGAGTTTTTCACTGCTTATAGACATGCAAAGATAAAACCTCTCTTTTTATCTAAAAATCCTTGAGAGACTCTGAAAGATACAGCCGTTTTCTGAGAACATTAAAAAGAAAGAAGCAACAATCAAAAGGAATATACTTCTCACCCAGCCTATTCAAGACATCATTTCTATATACATCCTGAATATTCTCTGACATGCACATTCTTCTCATCTAGTCAGTTTCATTTTACATTTGGGAACAATGTGTGAAGAAATTGGATTGTCATAAAGTGACAAGTGGTTCCAAGCTCTGTGTCTCAGGCTGCACCTTCACTGGACTGTGTCTGGTCCTGGATAATTTGGGAAGTGAACCTGCATGGTGCTCCACGTTATTTATTTTTGTACTACGGTGAAAAAGTAGGCTCTAGCACATTACTTGAATGTTACAGAAAATCTCCCTTCCCAGTGAGAGAAGTCGATGTGTGAGGGTGGGTGGGGTAAATGAGGAAAAACTCTCTGTGTTTGGGCTAGAGGAAATTTCTTTATGTTCCAGAATTGCTATTTTGTAGTTGACCCACACCTGAAACATTCAAGTCCAGGTTGGATGGGACTCTGAGCAACCTGATTTAGTTGAAGATGTCCCTGCTTGTTGCAGGGGAATTGGACTGAATGACCTTTAAAGGTCACTTCCTACACAACACTTCCAACTGTTCTATGATTCTGGTTTTCACAATTTCCCTGTGACTCTTAGAAAGAAATCGGAAAAATAATACTTAAATTAGAAAAAAATAAAAAGAAATTCCAAACCACTTTATCTTTCAAATTATTACGTTTCCATTCTTGTAAAAGTAGAACCAAAACCTGACAAATATTCTTTATTCACTCTTCTGCTTTATTATCTCCCTGTTTGTAATTTATTTGCTTTATTTTCTTACTCTTTGTTAGTTTTTTCCTTCCTTTCTTTTTCTTTTCTTTTGGCTTGAGTTAATCTTTGTTCCCCTTCTGTTTTGTTTTGTTTTCCCTTGCTTTCTTCTTCCTGTAGGCCTAGAGTTTATTTTCATTTCTTTGTTCTGATTCCTTTGTCCTGTAACAGTACATATTTTTGGAAAAAATTATTTTTCAGGAAATAATGAATATTTTCCAGTCTCTAATTAAAGACAGGTAAATACTATGACTATATGTGTAAACATGTGCTGCATTTGCATGTGATTTATTTCCTCTGTCCAGCTGTCACAGGCCATTTATATTAACAATTTGACAACTTATAGAATTCCCTAGGATCTAACAGAGAGCCTGTGCAGTAGAGGGTATTCATAGACAGGAAAAAGCCTTAGAATTTTTCCTATGGTCTAACAGTGACTCTCCTTGATATCAAAATAAATTTAGTTTTTAATAACATTAGGAGGGAATGGTAA